AACGAATACTCTCTACCTTCGGCCCCATACAAGATCTGTATGGCATCTAGTACGGACCTGTGCGATTCTAATATAAATATAATTGATAAGAAAATGTTTAGCCTGCTATGTGTCGGGAGCTTAAATAGTATTTATGACCACACTTACACGTGTTCGGCCAGGTTTTTCAGGTTGGACCGAGTGCAGAAATTCGGGAAGTTGTAGCATTCCATTTTTAAAAAATGTCTAAGGAAAATAATAAATTTTCAAAATTATTTTTATTACTATAATTTTTGAAGATTAATAATGACGGTTATTATCGATAGTATTCTTTTACTCCCATCTTGAAAACAATGCACAAAAGGCAAATTTTTTGAAGTCATTTTTCTTCTTCAAATGACTGCTACCGAATTAATAATTTTCCGTTCGTAGCGAATGTCTTTCATCGATGAAGGAAGATAATTTGAAATTATCTTCCTTCATCGATGAAAGGCATTCGCTACGAACGGAAAATTAGTTAGATTTTGAAATATTTTTATTAAAATTGAACTTAAAACAATATTTAAAAAACACCACAAAGAAAAACATTTTCCTTTAATTTTTCCAAATGTAAATCATAGATAAATATTCCACGCATGAAGAAATCCCAAATTTTTTATGCATAAAAATTGAAACTACAAAGTAAAGTACATTTTAATTATGATTTTAAAAAAAGTATTAAAATGTATGACGAAAAAAGTAAAAGATAGAAAAACTATGATGTAAAAAAAATCATTTTTACTTGTCATTTCTTAAAGAATTTTTTAAAAGAAAAATTTTTTTAAATGTATTATTTTAAGAAAAAGTATTGTTTAGTGTTTCAAGCATTTTTTGAAAATTCGAAGTACCTGGCTTAGATAACAGAGAAATGCTGACAAAATGTCAGAATAGAGGACAATAGGGAATTAAAACATGTGTTTTAATTCCCTATTGTCCTCTATTAATTCCCTTTGGTTGCCTTTTTTCTTTCCTAAATTCTATATTTCAGCAGTTTCCTTTACAATAATTATATCTAATTTATAACTTGTTTCTAATTTAATTTTCATTTTACATCGTTGCAAAGAGAAAGTATTAAATCATTACATTTTCCTTGTTGTAAAAATTCGTTTTCTCAGTGCCCCTATTCATTCTCTTCTATACTATTAATTCGCTATTCTCAGCTTTCTACAATTATGTAATAGAGTTTCCTTTTCTCTTACATTATATAGGGGAGATCGGGGCAATATCGGCATGTTAAGCTTTACTTAAATTTTGTGTAATAAATGCTGCTGTAAACTGAAAAAAAAGCTTTGCATATTGTCTATTGGAAAGTTACCTTACTATAGAACTGGTTAAAATCAGTTTGGAAATAAAAATAATTAAAATAATTACAACTTTACAAGAAGAGAGAAATTGACGAAGTTGCCCCGGGTATAGGGGCAAGATCGGCAACTTCTCTCTTTTTGTAAAGTTGTAATTATTTTAATTATTTTTATTAAAGTTGCCCCTGGTATAGGGGCAACAGTAATGGGGCAAGATAGGCACGTATATAAAATTATGTTATTAACAATGTATAAGTTGGAATTCACTATTAAAACAAAGAAATACAAATCCAACACCCATTTAATATTATTACAACGAAATGCAAGTTCAAAGACATATATACATGAATAACAAATGCAAAGATGTTTTCATTTATCATCTGTTTGATTTTTATCCTTTGCTTCTAATGTGGCTTTATGTTGCCGATCTTACCCCGCTAGTCATGATTTCGAAACATTAAGTACAACCCTGAGAACAGAATGCCAAGCCACGATCTGGCCACGTGAATAAGTTGAAGTTACATCCTTCTAACAGGAAAAGTAACTTTCGTTATCATGGAATTATAACAAAACCTGCCAATTCAATATAAATGGAAAAAAAATATTATATGAAATTGAACGAAAAAAAAATTTGCTTGATAATTCAACTACGCTTGTTGGAGAACAATAAAAACACTACACTCAACAAGCCACCAATAAAACTCAACTGCCTAACCTATAACCAAAGTCTCCTTTTAATTTGTTTTTTAAAAAAAGCGCTTGACAAACTTGCCCCGCATGCCGAAGTTGCCCCGATCTCCCCTAACTCTGTCTTGTCCAGCTAACTTCCGTCATTATAAAGATCTGCGACGTGAATAACGCAATGACATAAAACATTCCATTAGAATTCAATAGCCATTGTTTCTTTAATCGATTCTTTTGTTACAAAATTATATATCATTTCATTGCAGTAAATTTAATGAGTACGCATCACGAAATAAAAGAAACATTATCGATAAAATTACTCCGATAATTCTATAAGTTTGATATTCGATTTTAATTTCATATTTCCTATGTTATAAGTCTTACATAATTCATAAGACATTATTGCTTTATAGCTGATAACAATAGGAATTTTGATATATTTTAATTTTCGTTTTATATTTTCATGCAAATAAAAACTTAAATACACTTACGTACGTTTAGTATACACTCATTACATATTCTTTTGTATGTTTTTCACATTCGAATAAGCTGTAATTTGATGAAAAATTTGATTTTTTTTATGAAAAAACGAAAAAGAAATTTCGAAATATCAATAAATTTGTCAGCAATATGTTTATGTTTTAATTATAATTTTAAAATGAACATAATTAAGAAGCATGCAAATATCAGAAACAGGGACTTACGATTAATAAGTACATTTTTTGTATGTATATACTTCATAAATAAATTAGATCTACCAGTTATATTAATTTCACGTCATACTCTCAATACATTATTAAATTCATTCAAATGAAGTGTATGCCTAAAATCTATAATATTTGATAAATTCAAATATTATGTACAAAAACGAACTGCACGTCTCATATTACAAGACTTATTTATGAACACTCATAATGGGTGGACGGTTCACGCTTCACTAACGAGCTAGCTGCGTGGAACTTCTCAACTTTTCTATACTTGTCTAACAAAATAAAAAAGTTTTTTATAGAAATTTATTCCGGCAGCTCTTACCCATTAAAGATCCCTGTGTTGCGTTGCGTCTAATTAAATTAAGAAAATTATATATTTTTAATTACTTTACATCAATGGTTCCCAAACATTATTTGTTTTGCCTTTCCCTTTGGTTCCCTTTGATTCCTTCTCATAACAAAAACCTGACCACGAACCCCCCATGTGAAATACCTCTACGCAACTACATAATAGCAAAAGTACAAACTTAACTGTGATGTCTATAAATGGCGAATGCAATAAATGAAGCACAGAGCTTATTTTCAAAACGGGTAAGCTTTATGTGGTATTCCCACTGAGCAATGTTTCTCATTACTCGTGTTTTATGTACGGTACACTTACTTTACTTATATTTTACTCATGACGAAAAAATGAATACAAATTTATATATTAGAGGAAAAGGTTGTATTATGGAACCCCTCCATTTCGAACTGATAATAAAAGCGAACTGTGGCGGATTGTGGCCGTACTGCACTGGGCATACATCCATAGCAAGGGGAAAACACGTTTCACTTCACTTAAACGATTGTCCGTAGTGAATCGGCATATTTGTGTTTTTCGAAATTCGAAAGTTTTGAATGGTAAGTGAATTTAATTATTTCTAAAATATAAATGGTGTAGTTGTCGGTTCACTGGTGCATGTACTCCGTTCCAGAGACATATGGGTACATATGGGTATTTTCCAGGTAAATAAAAAATATTAGGTTATTTGTCTTTCTAAATATTGTTATTGCATAGTCGGATAACCTCCGAAGATCCATCAAAGTTTTGTGCTTGACCGTTCGTCATTATTTGCGAAGACCGAAAAAATTTGCTTCGGGAGATCTTTTAACGGTAAATAGCACATATTCAGGTGTTATAGACGTGGATAAAACCTGGAAAACTCCTTTAACCAGACTGTCCTGGCAATGCGCGAACCAACGACCAAACTATTAGTTTATAAGTACAGAACGAATACCGTGGCCACTTATAGTCCCATATTCGATTTTTAGCAGTTTTTAAGTTACAAATGTCTACGTTCCTACGTCATACGGTAAAAACATAGAAAAAAACAAGCCCTCTACCTCCGGCCCCATACAACAGCTGTACGGCTTTTAATACGGACCTGTACGATTGTAATATAAATACTGTATACCTTATAAAAATATATTTAGCCTCCTATGTTTCGGGAGCTAAAATAGTCTTTATGACCACACTCACACGGGTTCGGCTAGATTCTTCAGGTTGGGCCATATGCAGAAATTTGGGAAGCTGTATCATTTTATTTTTTAAAAAATATTTAAGAAAAATATTAAATTTCCAAGATTATTTTTGATTACTATAAAATTATTAAATGCAAATGTATTCTGACAGTTTATTATTGATAGAATTGTCTTACTTCAATCGTAAAAACAATGCACAAAAGATAAGAGACATTACCACATGAATTATCCAATCCAGATCGGAATGCCATTCAAGATAATTCGACAAATTTTATCTGTTTGACAGATAGTAGCGAAGGTTCAGTAATTCGACCTCTATTATTCTAACAATAAGTATTTTAATAGGAATCATCAAAAACAATATTTAAAAGAACACCAGAAAGAAAAATACTTTTTCTTTTATAAATCTTCCAGGCATTAATAAGTTTCGTATTTTTTACGCATGAAAGATCCCAACGTCGAATGAATACGTCCAATAAAAACGTTTTTGACGGAAAAAAAAAACAGAAACTATTTAACAAAGACTAGCTTCAACTGGTTAATTTCAAACAAAATCAACCAATGAGACATAGAACAGATAGAATAGAGGACGTCACAGAGAATAATTACAGTTCACAAAACACTCATTTTCTACTGAAAATTTTTAATACTTGATATTTTTAAGGGTAAAAAGTACATTATTCAGTCAGATAGAATCAATCATCGTGAAGCACCTTACACTAAATATTATTAGGACAATCCAGGTTTTTCTTAACTAAAGATAGCAATGAATATACAGGTAAAATTACTCGACTGTATTAAACATTTCAAATGCATATGCTAAAATAATTTCTATTTAAATTTATTTAGGTAAGAAGAATCGACACTTCAAAGAGCACGAAATGTTTGTGTCTGACACACACCGTATCCAGTATAATTGGTCGAATTGGTGTGGTAATTAGTCGATATCCCCTTTATTTCGTCATTGTTCCTATCATTGTCTCCAGTTTATTATCAATTGGGATAATAAAAATTCTAACCAACGACGACAACGAGTGTCTCTTAGGTGCGGACAGGGGTAACGTTTTTCATGCCAAACAATTTATAGAAAAGACATTCCCTATGAATTCGGGAAGTTTCGATTTTTTACGACTTACTAAACGTCCGCTTTTTCCAATGATCTACATAGTATATAACAGAGAAAGCAACATTTTACGGAAAGAATTCTTAGAGGAAATACAAATTGTAGATAAGGTTGCAAAAAACACCACAGCTTTCGTAGATGGAAAGATTATTGGTTACTCTGACGTGTGCCAGATTGTAGATGGCAAGTGTTTAGAAAATACTCTCATTAATCTGCTAAACGACTCCGAAAATGCTATTCATGAATTATTAAATATGAAGTATCCCGTTAATATGGATCCTCTAACATACGCGTACAAAATCCTTTGTCTGAATTTAGGGGGGGTAAAGACAGACGACAAAGGATACATAATTGAAGCAAAAGCCATTCGTTTATACTATGTACTAGATGAATCGAATGCAAGTAAAAAAAAGTGGAATGAAGAGTGGACAAAGGCAGTTTACAACAAGCTAAGAGATTATACTTTCCAGCATATTAAAACATTTCCCGATCCATTCGCATCTACTGATTATCAAGTAAAACGCATTTCACAGGAATTAGTGTTCTTGATAAGCGTGGCTGTGGTCGTAGTGGCCATTTTCTCCATCTCCACAAACATGACTAACAATTGGGTGAAGTCCAAACCCTGGTTAGGTGTAGCTAGTGTCATATCCGCCGGTTTGGCTGTGGCTACCGCTTTTGGATTATTATCCGCCTGTGGAGTAGAAAATCTTCGGTGGAACGTCTGCCTTCCTTTCATTATTCTCGGTAAGCTAAACTATAATATATTTGCAAATAATAATAAATTTCGCTTTATCTATTTTTAATACTTGTATATATTAAAGCTACGGAAGTGGACGACTCGTTTGTCGTATTGGCTTGCTGGAAGGTAACAGATTGCAATGGCAGCGTAGAAAATCGAATGGAACAGACGTATCGCAACGCTGCAGTGTCCATCACCATAACGTCTCTAACGAATTTCTTCTCCTATTGCATTGCCATGACGTCACCATTCCCGGGTGTAAGAATATTCTGTTTGTATGCCGCAACGTGCATCTTCTTCAGTTATTTCTTTCAGTTGTTTTTCTTCGGCGGATGTCTGGCATTAAGTGGATACAGGGAAGAGAAGGGTCTTCATCCTTTTACATTTAAACCAGCTTTTGGTAAAAATTTTAAATTTATTAACTTGTATAATTTTTTCCATAGATTTTTTAATAATAGTTTAAACACTCTTTAATGACAAGGCATCTTTCTAAAAATTTATTGAAACTCTGGTTAACTGACTTTATTTAATAGGAACTTTGTTGTGGATTGGAAATTAGAAAATAGTAAATATTATTTCTTGAGTGTTTTATTTATGATTTATGTTATATGTTTTTAAAAGTGAGAAATGTAAGAAGTGAAAGTTATATTTTTGCGTGAATGTGACAACAAACAAAAAAACAATTGATTTTAATAATACATACATGTTAATTGTTTCCCGGCTTTGTTACATATGTAAAGGTGTAGTTAATCCTTCAAAACCGGAAGCGTTTGAAACAATAGGCAAGCGGGAAAGAAAAAAAAAGTTTAAGACAGAATCTTCTAGAAGTTCAAGAAGGAACTACCACGTGCAAACAACGGATATCGAAAGACGTGCAAGGAAACTTTACAAGTCGACAGGTTGAAACTAAAGAAAATAATTACCTACGGAGACGACGAACCCTTCGCAGAAGGAATGAGTAGAAGAGAAAAGGATAGGCAATCCTTTAAAAGTAAGCCAAATATTTAAATATTTCGGGGTAACAGCGACACGATTAAGGCAGAGAATTGGGTGAGGAGATTTGAATCGGTTGCGGAATACATGGGATGGAGCGAAAAAGGCAAAATAATGTTAATGGGAGATTACCTAGAAGAGGAAGCCCTAAATTGGTACATCGAACACTCGGAAAATCAGAGTTGGGAAGAATTTAAACAAACTTTCGTGGGGATATTCGGATTACAATAAAACGAGCCCATCGTGGATTTCGTAAGGTTAGAATATGATCCATAAATGGTTATGAAACTTTATTTCGAAAGAAAAAAAGCTTAGGGAAGTTAGCGCAATTGAAAGACTTTCAAATAATAGACTACCGCTAATGACAGAAAGGTTACCTCGAGAAATGGCGGAATATTTCGTAACCGTAAAACCAAAAACTTTGGTAGAATTTTATGTAATAAGACTGAAAATCGAAGAAAATTTAAAACAAAAACGAGTCAATAAGTCCACAAGGAGTAATTTTGGTTATGGGAAAGAAGAATTTAATTCGGAACACAAAAGAAAGCCAAATGCTTCTAAGATTTGTAAGAGTTTGGGATGCCAAAACAGGTTTCGTTAGGCTCGAGACTGTTGGAATAAGCGAAAATCGCCTGAAAGAAACGGGAACTAAATCTCGCTGAGGTCGAATACAACGAAGTACGAAGCAAAAGTAAAAAAGTGGAGACAAATCGCGATTAAACGAATCATAAAATAGAAGGGACAAACGAGGAAAGTGTTCAGGAAAATTAATTAATGGAAACCAAATTCGAGAACATAATACAAAATGGCTAATTCCCTAAAAGTATTAATGAAAGAAACAATAACGATGCAAATAAAAATGGTTATTATTACGAAAAAGGAACAGAAATGAACAATATTGAAGATTTAAATAAGTTCAAAGACAGAAATCGAAAAGTACAAGAAACGTTAAGAGAGACATTACCACATGAATTATCCAATCCAGATCGGAATGCCATTCAAGATAATTCGACAAATTTTATCTGTTTGACAGATAGTAGCGAAGGTTTCAGTAATTCGACCTCTATTATTCTAACAATAAGTATTTTAATAGGAATCATCGTCGGTCTGGTGACAATTGTAGGAATAACAACAAGCTTATTTGTTCACATTTTCCGCTGTTTGAAATTACGAAACACGGAGACCTGTCAAGAATCGATCTACAAAGTAAAAATTGAATCTACGAGAAGTAATGAAAGACAATGATTCCCCCTAAACACTTGGATCTACAAAGCGGAGGGATGTAAAGATATAGTTAATCGTCCAAAACCGGAAGCCGTTGAAACAATAATGATGGCGGGAAACGAAAGAAGGTCAAGACAAAACCTTCTAGAAGACCAAGAAGGAAGGACCACGTGCAAACAAAGCATATCGAAAGATGTGATAAAGAAACTTTACATATATTCTTGGTAAGGTTGCTCAAGTCGTACCTTATACTTTTTAAATATAATAGCACGAAAACAGCGGCTCTAGAGACTATACAATGTACTGTACTGTACTGTACACTTCAGTCAACAATATTTTTTTCCCATGTTGTATTTGCATATATTACTTATCAGTATTTACTGTATATAAAAAGAGAGGAATGAGACGTATTTAAATATCATGTATATAATGTTACATTTTCATGTGTTTCTTTGTTCATAGAATGAAGGCAATCGGAAAGATGTTCTTTCCATTCAAAGAAACAACTGATGAAGTTTCTAAACTAATCCGGTTCCAATCCTAGGTCCTCGAATAAAAAACGGTATTCCCTTTGTTGCTTTAAACAAATGTCTCAACGGTGTCTACAGTATAGTGTAAAACTTATTATAAATGTGGAAAATACACTAATCGAATGCTTCTTTCGTGGCGTACCTGAAAACGAACATTTAAACGTGTGTTAAAAAATACTGTAATCTAAAACATGCTTGTAGGCGATACTGTAAAAAGATTCAGATTAAGCAGGAAAATTCTGTAATACACATACAAATACCTACTAAAATATCCATTAAACTATATAGAACTTGATATTAAATTATAATTATGAAGTTTTTTTAAAAGTAGTTCTGTAATAGGTGTAATTAGAATAGAACTAGCTAGTGAGAGTCGGTGTTATTATTACCATTCGCACATACACATGGGATTCATACTTTGAGAACGTTGCCAGTAGTATGTTTCCTTTCTCCTGTAGTTTGGGGGTTCCTGTTTTCGTCAACTGTCAAACAGACTCTTCTTACAGAGTAGAATGGATACAGGCATACAATATTTCTTCTTAATGTCCCATATAACTTTTCCTCATTATTCTAAATTCATTTACATTATTTTGAATTCATTCATTTGATTTCAATGCTATAATTCTATTTTTTATTGTATAGTGCATCGAATATGTAGGGGCAAAACTTGATTTTACAAACGTCAATATACGAATGTTCGTAATGATTGTGATATTTAAGGCTTTAACGTTTATGGTTGTTGTTTATAACGGTGATATTACTTGTTTTCCTCAAGGAAAAAGTAAGCTACTTTCGTTTCTGATTCTAAAGAATATTTTATTTGTAGTTCCATCTTACATTTTATCTGTAGTAAAATCATAATTGAATTCTGCTGTAACGTACAATCGCTTTCATCCGTTGTATTCAATAAATTAACGTTGATTAGTTCGTAAAATACTTTTAAAATTATCTGTTTTGGTGAAAATTTCAATGACATTTAATATCATAAAAATTCTTATTTATTATATTTTTATACAAACCTACTTAATTCAACTTTACAAAACATTTTACAGAAACTCTTGGACAAAGTGACTTTTACAAGGAAGAAAATGAAGACTGTTTTATGAAGTTCTTCAGAGATACATTTTCAGCTTTTATTTTTCATCCTGTATCACAAGTACTTATTATTTTATCATATTTTATATTATTGTCAGTTGGTATATGGGGTGTTATGTCCTTACAGGAAGGACTGAATGTTTACAAATTCAATTCAGAAAGCTCCGAAATTACACAGGGATTTCACGTTTTCTATAAATATTTTACCCAATACCCCTTTACGGTGCACGTCGTAATTAACGAAACTTTAGATTATTCTAATCCACAAGTCCAAGAGTCAGTTAATGCCTTAATGCAGAAATTTCACACTATTGAAAATATAGCCGGATACGAGTACGAATTTTCTTGGTTAAAATATTATAAGGTATTTCAAAATCATTCTATTTCGAAGTATTCCTTAAGAGGTTACGATCTCACTCAGAAGCAGGATTTTTTGGATGCACTTAGAAACGTCTTCTTGAAATTCACAGGAGCCAAGCAATTTAAGAATGACATTATCTTTAATCAAAATTACACTGATATTGTCGCCAGTCGCTTTTTATTCTTAGCGAAAAATGTTTCGAATAGAGTAACCGAATTCAAAATAATAAACGATTTATCGAAAATAGGCGAAGAAGCGCCATTTTCCGTTGTAATCCATACATTGATAACACCTGTTATCGAGCAAGGAATCGTTATCAGACAGATAACGATTCAACTGTTTTGGATCACTTCCTTGTTAATCTTTGGCATTTTTCTTTCTTTAATACCTAATTTGCATTGCGCTGTTATCGTCGCTATCTGTGTCGGGTCTATCACCGTGCAGACAATCGGATTCATGTCTTTATGGGCAATCAATCTGGATATCGTGTCTCTGATGTGCTTGATTCTCTGCATCGGGTTTTGCGTCAATTATCCCACCCACATATGCTATTGTTTCATCACATCATCCCAAGCAACGACTAAAGAAAAGTTAAAAGATAGTTTATGCCACGTAGGTTATCCGTTAATTCAAGGGGCAATATCTACTGGATTAGTATTGATAATCATCAACTATTATAATTTATTTATATACACCACTTTTGTTAAAATTGTTTTCGTAATTGTACTGCAAACAATATTTCACGCATTATTTGTTATTCCTGCAATCATCTCGATAACTTCGTTATCTAAAAGAGGATGTCAAAACAGCAGAGCATCAACATTCTGTCGGTGCACGTAGATGTTACCATTGATAAATGCACGTTAATTCAAACCGTGAATTTTAATGTAGAGAACATGTAATTTTCTGGTATACTCAATTATTGTAAATGGGCGTATAATAACGAAAACAAATAGTTTTTTAATTTTCTTTAATGATATAAAGTATTCCAGATCTTTGAAAATTATTTTTTATTCAGCTTGCTTGAGTATATTGTATATAAATTTCGTAACAGGGGCAAATTAAATATTGTAACCTTGATGGAGAAAGTAAAGTACAACAATTATTGGAGACCAGAATTTTGAAGGAGCAATGATATAACAACGATGAAGCAGTTGATTAAAGTAAAGCGTTTCACAGTCATAAACTTACTACTACGTAAAATTATAATAGCAGTGTCTTATTAATAATTTTTGAATCTGTATCCAATAAATATATATTGTGATTAAATTGATAGAATAAGAAACTTAACACTTGAGCAATCTGTAAGCAATATTTTGGCAAATTGATCAAGTATTGCATAATAAGAGAAACTCGTCATTTATTTATGTGTTAGACATGTAACGAATCTCGGAAAACATCATGTCGTCAGCTGTTTATTCTTCTTGCTCAATTAGTGGATTGATAAACCTTTGCGAATATAATGATTGCAAATATTAATTAAACAGAAAGTAAGAGAGAATCAAATAAAGAACGCAGCAATAAGTGGCTAATAATATAATTAAACGAGTAATTATTGCTCTTTGTGAACTGCCAATATTTTGTAACAGTGTAAATTCCTTATTTCAGCACTTATGCGACAAGCGCAGCCGGATTATAAGGTGCAGGATTAACGCACTGTAATATTTTAAAATATCTTTCCAGGAAAAGATTTTTATATAGAAACTTTGTAATGTTTCTTTAATATTCTATGGAAAATATGAAAACTTTTCTACAAAACGTTTTGCTAAACTTACCTGAAAGATATTTAAATGTATTCGCTTAGAATTTTAAACACGCTTCAAAACGTTTCATTATATTTAACTGTAAAAAATGAGCCACCATTGTTCTCTGGTTTATTTATCACCGAATTTTTATTGTCTCCGTAAAGACGGTTTTGTTCAAAGTTCTTTCGAATTTACGTAAATTAAGTTGTCGTGTATTACGCAATAAAACGGAATTCTGAATAAAATTATGCTAAAAATGTTTTTAATAAATAGTTTGAATTTAACTGATTGAAGATACATCGTTTTTTATTCAATAAAAACGTATTTAACATTAACATCAAGTCGGTATTCACCTCATTATTCTAGTGGATTATGACGTAAAGTGTTCAGAATAAAAGGGAAATTATCGATGTACATTATTTAAATTTTATCCATTCGTAGATATAAACATGTTAAAATTATCAGGTAATGTCTTTGAACATTTGATTTATTAATACTAAAAGGCACGTTGCCTATAAATTGGCTTTAACGTACTGTACGTGAATAAGCAAATTAATATCGTAGCTCATTTTATACGAAGCGGTCTATCCGAATAAATTTCTTATTTATTTCTAGAAAAACCGTAACCTGACGGAACGAGCCTAAATAATGCCAACTATTCAAGTGATTGGAAAACGGTCTACAGTCGACTCCCTATAACAGTGTTGATAATTCCGTTTTATATGAATTCCATGTTGTACGAGTCACTTAGATTTTACAAATAGATGAGCCGTTCACAGCCGGGAACACGTATTTGTAAAATCTAAGTGATTCGTACAACATGGAATTCATATAAAACGGAATTATCAACAGTGTTATGGGGGTTGACTGTATCTATTTATTCATTATGATGTAAGTTATGTATACCTGCGAAGGATAAAACGCTATCGTCTAATAAATAAATTTTACACTGCTTTTCTAAATTTCGGCTGTTATGTATAACAGAGGAAAAGTGTGACGATCAGTCAAACAATAACCATTGAAAGTTTTATATTTTTGGACTCGAAGGAAATTAAAACGTCGAGAAATACAAAAACTTCTTATGATTTTTGTATATATCCAATTAATGTCGAGAAAACAACGATTTTGCTTATTCACTTTGCAACTTAATAACTCCAATCCTTTTTTTTTCGGAAATTTCTAAAATTTTGCAGGGTAATTTCTTTATACGGTAAACATTATGCTTTATGTCATTTTATAATTATTATTTATTTATAGAAACAAGTAAAACACAGATTCGTATTAATATCATAAATTAATAATAATACTTAACTATTAATTTCTATTAATAAATTTCATTTTTCAATGGAAGTTTTATGCGCATATTTTGGGAAAACAACAAAAAACGTCATCAAAAATGATTTTGAAGTTCACGGGCAGCCTTGCATTTTAACTAAGTGAAGATATTTCGTGCCTTTTACCACGTTTCCCTTTAACGTTCAGATTATTTATGATCTATCGTGTTCGGAGTAAAATCTATACGTATAGAAAATTATAAAATTTCGATCGTTATTATTGTTAACTAAATTTATATCTATTTTACTCTTCTATTTATGACGATTTATATCTATTTTACTTGGAAATTATGACGATCGTTCAAAAATGACACTCAAGATTTTTACATTTGTGGAATCAAGCAGATAAGGAAGAAAATTCGATAGTAATTTATGTATATATGGATGTAATTGGAAGTTGAAAGCACGGTTTTTTTCACTGTGTTCGAATTACTACTGTACTTTTTGTCTAAAATTTTTGAAATTTTACTGGGATTATTATGTATTAGAAACTTTGTTGCTATTAAATTTTGTGTGTTAAAGGTAAGAAGGATGAAAAAATAAAGGGGAACGTATGTATCCTCATTAAGGTCAAACTTAATGACGATTTCACTCGTTATTAGCATATACAACTTTGAATAAAACATCCCTATCGTCAAGATTCACCCGTTTGCTATATTATAGAATATAAAACTTTCAATTAAAAAATATTGTAACAAATGGAGCCATGAAATGTTGTCAGAAAAGTAAACCAACTCGTTGCTGGATATTTATATTTAAATATTGAGAAAGTCTCCAATCGAAAAAGTATTATTTTCCTTTATTGGAAATAAACGAGAGAAAAAGTTATTTATTCCATTGCATTTAAAATTATCTGCTAGCATACACCTAACTTAGTTTTTCCTAATCATATTTTATCACGGAAAGTCGTTTCGAATTCGAGAAATGTCTGTGTTGCTTCTTAGTTCATAAATCATGTTTCACTTTACTTATTGTTTGTAAAAATTGTGTAAAATTTTTCTGTTTAAACACAGCGTTTTTATGAATATATTCATCTCGAGTAAAAGGTTTACTTTAAAATTAAAATAAAGAATTTAACTTTTTTTAGTTCAAGAATAGAAATGTCATTTTTTTTCAATATTAAGAGTATGATGAAATTCCTTTATAATATTCACTATTGTTTACGTAGACGTCGTTTTTTTTAATTAATAATTATTTCTTTTATTTTTTACGAAACATATTAATTGTAAGATATTTCACTTTCAAAATCGTAAATAATGATTTATATGAATTATTATCGTTAATTTACAATAAAAAACGTCAGGAGAGTTGATAAATTATTTTCATTGTTTAAACCGAATAATTATTTATTCACCTCTATTAAATTAAATCCTGCCTTATAAATAATATTCATTTGATCTACTTACAATAGAATAAAATTACAGAAACCTTATATGAAACTTAGTTCGTTATAAAGGGTTAAGAATTATATTACTGACATAACAAGATATATACATTTTCTCCATAATTAATACAAAGACACTGCGTTAGGAAAGAGACAGGGCCGAACTCGGAGGTATAGCCCGTGGTAAGAAGGAAGTGGAGATAGGGTAGAAGAAGTTGAGAGTATGGAGGGGCTGAAGGAGGGGGTAAGTGTGATAGGATAGTGGGAAGTGAGGGAAGGTGGGTCATGGGACCCATTGGCGCCTTGCATCGCCTATATTTAAAAGAAAATTAATACAGTGTGGACAATAAACAATACAGAATGAGCCGGATGGGTACAACACAAATGAAAAGGCGCGACAATGTAAACATGTATAACAGATTACAAGCAAAGCTATTAAACAAATTAACTTCAGTTAGCAGGAGTACAATAACAGAGGAAACAGATGAAGCTGTTTGGTGTAAAACATAAAACCGCGGAACATATAGAACAGCTTATCCAATTTATTACAGAATGAACCATTAAAACAATATACTCTAGATTACACAGTTGACACATACAGAGAGAGGAGACGATGAACTTCTAGATGGTCAGTTGAGGGTGATCATAGATTGCAGAGTGGGACTAGTCGAGCTTCCTGATACCTGTAGCAAAACTTTTTATCGCTGAAAAGTTTTTCTTGTCAGAAATCAAGTCCTTAAGCATACAGGGCCAGTGGAAGCCGTTGTCCTTGATGGTACGAATGAACTCCTTGCGTTGCGTAGAGTAGTGTGGGCAGAAGAAGATTATGTGCTCAGTATCTTCCTCCTCCTTCAAATCGCAGTCACAGAGCCCGTCCGTTTTATTGAGAAACCTTTTTAGGTACGTGTTCAGGTTTCCGTGACCAGTTAGGAGCTATGTCAACTGAAATGTGGGATATCTTGGATGAAGCATGCTGTCAGTGGGGCAAGGAAGGAAGCAGTGGGTAGGCTTTCCAGTAGAACCGTTGTCCCACCTGACTTGCCAAGTCTTTAGAATGATGTTGTGGATGAGATTGTTCAAATGCTTACTACTTATCTTGTTGTAGGTGCAGCTATTAGATTTTGCGGATGCACAACGAGCGAGAAGATCAGCCCTATCATTCCCCGCACTCCCTGAATGACCTTTAATCCAGTGAAAGTAGACGTTGATGTTTCCTTTCTTCAGGGCTTGAAGATTGCCAAGACATTTCTTCACAATGGGTAGAGTGGTGTTTATTTTGGCGATCTGTTGAAGCGCAATGCGACTGTCGGTATAGATTCTGAAGTTGTGGTTAGTCCAGTTATGATTCGTGTTGGAGATCCAATCGATGGCATTACTGATGGCCAAAGACTCCGCTTGATTAATGGTGCAATGCGGAGCCAACTTCCTGTACATCTGATAAAGACAGACTTTGCCTTTGTAAGCCACAAAGGCACTCCCAACACCTTGGTCTGTTTTGGATCCGTCGGTGAAGATACAAATGTCCTGATCGTCACTGTTGCTTGTCTCGAGGGATACAGAAGGAGTAAAGCTTGGGTGAATAGGATTAGGTGAACATTTATCAAAGCCATTTGTGGCAATAGTGGCCGCTAAAGAAATTAGATCCTGTGCGAACTCTTCCTTACCAACAATGGCATTGAAATGGTCTTGGTTGATTTGGTTGTTAGCCAGTTTAATTAAGTTGAATCTGATGAGGATCTCTCTAATTTTGATGTCTATGGGGGGAGTTCGGTTGATTACCAGTAAGGCCTCAGTAGGGGCAGTCTTGTATGCCTTAGCGATGTTAATGGCCATTATTCTTTGGATCGAAAGTAATTTTCTTTTGATATGGACCCTTGTCACTGATGTACCCCAAATTTCTGCCCCATATGTCACAATAGGTTCAATTACAGCAGTGTATAAAATTCTGCTTGAGGAAGGGCCATATCCCCACTGATTTCTACTGATTGTTTTTAGCGCTTGTGCTACCTTGACAGCCTTTTCATACACATAGTGGACGTGTTCTGTCCAGTTAAGCTTTGGGTCAAATACAATACCAAGGTACCTCACACTGGTAGCATTCTTGATCTTGATGTTATCTATTTTAATACTAGGGCCCTTTTTTAGAATATTCCCTTTGGGAAATACCAAAACATTACATTTGTTATAGTTAATAATGAGTTTGTTATTCACACACCAATCAGAGATCCTTAATAGCGTGCCATTGACCCTGTCTTGGAGGACCTTATGATTGACATGACTGAGAAGAAGAGTCGTGTCTTCCGCGTACCCCTGGATAAGAACATCATACTCAGACGGAGTGTTGTTTTGCAACTTCAGGAGGTTGTTATATAAGATGTTCCAGAGGTACGGGCCAGACTTGGAGCCCTCTGGGCAACCCCTGTGAATATTTTTTCTATACAAAGACACTGTGGAATGACAATTTTTCGTTTCGTATGCTGAGACCTACATTCTCCATATTAACAAACAGAATTTTCCACGAAAGCGATATCTGATCTAATTAATTTTCTATTCTGGGGTCTATTTTGATCATAGAAAATCCCGTGCCTACATTTTAGGCTCTGTAAAAAAATTTATACGAATTATAAAATTTTATTTATGCAAAAATAATTATTTACTTTTTACCTTGTTAAATTCCCTACTGAAAATACGCCTGGATGGGAAATTTTGCAACGTTGATATGTCTTTGTGAGAAATGAATAACAATCAATGTCGTTAAAGAAATACTGACTCGTATTATCGCTATAGGACACTAATCGATAACGTGTAGTCGTATAATAAGATATTGTTGTCACGATTGTTAAATCTTAGATATTTCAAAAATATTTTTTACGAAAATAAAGTTTACAGATTTTTCTGATTTATAATTAGGAAATAGGTAATTTTTAAGTTTAATATAATAAACCAGATAATTTTAAACATAGTGTATAATTGCCGCGCTGTGTACATTAAGAGAGCGGTTTTTCTACGCCCATTGTGGATTTAGCTGGTCAACACGAGGAGCGACAGAGTATTGAGGCACACGAACCCGTCACATCCAATATCTACTGTCTATGAAAAATTCACAGAGTGTTCCTCATTCGAAATGGAATGGTAAGAAGATGATAACCCTTCACCCTTTCATTTCGTATTCTCAGAGTGGTTGAATGATATGACTTTTTTTTCTCGTGCTTAAAATCAGAATATTTTTAATGTTGCATTGTAAACAAATCGCATAATACAATTCAATGACTATTATAACAAACACACTCACTGCAAAAAGTTAAGCACGGAGCGATAAACTGCGAAAATGGACAAATACAGCTGTGATTGACACGAAATGTGGCAGGACAGTAGCAAATATGTTTGTGCATGAAACAGCACAAAGAATTACATAGAAAAATGAAAATAATATTGAATTTTCATAAAGTATAAGATGAAATCATATTGGAATCATTAACAAAACGATGTTTAAATCAAAAACAAATAAGCAAACAAAACTGACATTAATAGGGTAAATGGTCACCCCTTATCCTTACACAAAGTTCACAGCGTGTACTTTGTGTAAGGATAAGGGGTACCATGCTTTACATGATGTGATCAACCACTCCAGAATCAAATAAGTGTCATTCCTCCTGTAGAGCAGTTTGCAACTCAGTGAGAGTGGCAGGGGGAAAACGTGCACACACAGCACGGCCGAGGGCATCCCAAAGATTCTCAATGGGATTGAGGTCTTGTGAATACGCCAGCCAATCCATACGCATGAATCCCTCATTCTCCAGGTAGTCGTCAACTAGAGCAGCTCTATGGGGTCGTGCATTATCATCCATTAAAACAAAACCAGGACCAACTGCTGCAGCAAACAATTTCACAATGGGTTCGAGGACTTCATCCTGATACCTGACAGCCATCACAAAACTCCCTCAATAGATGTGCAAGTCGGTGCGATATCCCAACGAAATGCCTGCCCACACCATAATGCTTCCACCTCAGAATGCATGATGCTCGATGATGTTCTGGGGTCAATTGCATGTGCCTTTTTCTCTCCATACTCTTACATGTTTGTAATCTGGCTCCAGGGAAAATTGCAACTCATCCGTGAACATAACGTTGCCCCAATCAGATACAGTCCAATTCACATGTTGCAGACACCATTTTAATCGTGTGCCTCTGGATTGGACGGATAGTGGAACATAAATTCATGGTACCCAGACGTACAGTCCATTCATGTGTAGCCTTCGGCGCACAGTAGCAGCAGATATCGTTTTACCAATGGCTGCTGCAACCATCGATGTCACACGTGTAGAGGTTGCTCTTTGATTCTGCTTGGCTACAACAGCAATATAGAGATCTTCTGCAGGGATCGTAACTCTTGGGCGACAGGCCACAGGTATTCGGACAACTGTTTGGCTTGTTTGGAATTGTTTTCATAACCGTGAAATGACAGAATGATGAATGCCGAAGAAAAGAGCAACATCTGTGATTGATTGTCCTGCTTCAAGGCATCCCACACACCGCCAGCACTCACTATCTGTCATTCGTCTTCTGGAAGTCATAAAAACATGTCAGTCATGCACACTAATTGTACGTCAGTTCTCCACACTTTTTCTTGGCACTTACATGCAACTCCTCACACACTTTAGAAGGCTGGCTTCTTATATGGCTGCCTCTTTTGCATATTTTGTGACATGTAACCATGATTGATAGTAATGTAACATATTTGCATACTTCCACCTACCTCTGCAGTGAATTGCAGCCTCTCAAATGCAGATTGCTTTCTGGACATAAACATTTTCTGCTCCGTGCTTAACTTTTGGCAGTGAGTGTATATCGACATTATAATAATTAATAATTTTATAAAATTTTATACGTTTATTTTTATGTTTAGCCTGCGAAAGAAGGGAAGGAAAGAGGAAACGTAAGCAGATAGACAGAAAAGAAAAGAAAAATCTTTAAATTAAGGTTACCAGTCTTTCTACGATTAATGTTTACATGCATTTTCAGACTGCAAAGCAGTGGGTCTAAAAGGAAACATAAATTGTAGCTTACACCAATAAGTAGTGCTGCTGCATAAAAGTTAGACAGAGTAAAGTATAATGCTTAAAACTAATAGGTTCAAACAAATAATAAAATCACACAAAAACTTATCTAGCAAGCTCTGTGGGAAGCAGAATAACTTAACTGAAACAACTGGATGAAATAGTGAATATAGTACTAAAATAAACTTAACTTATTGCATTACTAATGAGAATAGTGAAAAGGTTTCTTTTTTAATTTCCTTTAAGTATAGGAATTTAATTAAATTATTGCAAACTATTTATATACCACTTAAGATATTCATTTATTTTAAATGTTAGATACATAATATGTAACTTTTCTCATTTCTATATTTCTATCATATTAATATTTTAAATATTATATATATTCTAAGCAGGTTATGCATTAATACCATAATCAAGAATAAATGTATAATACATACATTTACCTTGGATTTTATGTAACCATTATTAAAGTATAAGTCAATCCGACACTGATGATTGTAAAAATTAACTTAGTGTTTATATATAATATATGCCACGCCGTAAATGAAGGTAAATCTTGCAAACATTTTACAGACATTCTGTATGCCAACTCCTTAATACATTTTTCCTCGCTGCTAACAGAACGAATGTACATAACTTTGCCTATTTTCCGAGCAGTTTCTGTTAATCTGGTAGAAGCCATGCATATATCGGTGAACTGAGCAAACGGGAAAAAAGATACGCACACCAATACGATAAAATCTACTAAATTGAAAGAAGTAATATCCAAAACGAAGAGATAGGCTGAGAAAATAATGTTACCAGCGATTACAAATGCCCATAGAAATAACAGAAATGAATATACCTCTTCGATGATGTCAACAATTTCTATAATTTTCAAGTAATTGCTCGAGATAACCGAAAAATTGGTTGATATATCTTCTCTTATATTAACGCGTCTGAATACGGAAATAAGCGCATTTTCTATCTCTTTGCAGATTGTAGCAAAGAAAGCATATAACAGATATTGTGGCAACATTAAAGCTACCGCAAAAACAGCTTCTCCAATACATAAGATTATTTCTGAACTTTCTGGAGAGATTCGTACACCAAAAATATTATTTAATCTCCAGTATACATCCATGTTCTTTGTATCTACACATACGTGTATTAACGAATAAATTATCGCATCCAAAACAACTAGCGATACGTATATGAAAATGGTTGTTTTCTTGTTTTTTATTTGAACATCAGAAATTTCGATTAATCGTTTCATCTGAAGAATTATTGTGCCTTTGTTGGCGTGAAAGTGATAGAAAGAGAATAGAGATATTATATCAGATTCTAAGAATTGTAATGCTGCAAAAGCCATCTTTACTTCAGGCTTTGCGTAGAAATTACAGAAACAGCAGTACGTGTAATGAAGCGTGTATAATACACCCAATGTGAAAATACTAACGTTGAGGATAGTGAACGAGTTCTTATTCAATTCCATTCCGAATAAAGCCATCGTCATTAGCAAAGGATTCCATCTTTCGAGTTCCTGATTTTCTTGTTTTTCTGGTTTCGGATGCACTTTAAATACTCTGTTCATATTCTTATGTTTCATGTTGTCTATTATATTGTTGAATCGAATTCCTGTAGAAGAAAACTAATTTATTTGTTATACAAGTGTTAGTATACTTTACATATGTTATATAATGAAAAAATCGTGAAGAATATTCATATACGACTACACAAAACAAAAATAATTACACAACGCAAATGAAAGTAACAGTAACGTTACATCACAAAAATTGAAAAAAGAACTAATTTCAGTGTTATTACAATACTTTTGATGTAATTTTATTTGAAGAACATGTTGTAGCAGATACACAGGGTTTTATAATTAACCTAACAATATACTTAACGATGTAAAAAACATTACTCAATTGCAGCGTACGTCGATGGTTATCTTAATAAGAACACGTGAAGGAAAACTTGCGAATAAAAATCATTAATTAGTTCTAATGCCTCTAAGTAGTATGCTGCGTTACAGTAATATAATACCGAGTTGAAGTAACACCCTCTAGTTTCCAAATCAAGATTCTCAATATGTTGACTATTAGTAAGAAAAACGAGCTAGCTGGAGATGCAATGCAGCGTGGTCCAAAATTGTTTGAATTACGGTAGTGGCACGTCGTGTTATTGTTAGCCATGTAAACTTATCAGTTACTCAGCTGAGCTGCCTTTAAACATGTAGTTAATTTTTTTTATTTAGTATTTCCTTATACATTTTTGAAAATTTGATGTCTAAAGCCAACAAAGAAACGAGAAATATATGAATCTTCATCTCATTTATAATATTTGCAAGTATCTAGAATCGTGTTTTACATCAACATTAAAAAAAACCAATTCAATATTTTAAAATCATGTTTCATATTATACTATGCAATTTTCTGAGTACATTTCGTTTCTATCGATCAACAATAAGATTATAAACAACATTTACTTATTATCCGGTTTCAACAATATATTTCTATAATTATTTTCTAAATTTGGAAAAATCTATAGATTAATTTTGTACAGAATACAAAAAAGAATCGATTGTCACAGACAATTCTTACAAATAATTTCCTGTTAAGAAGCAACTGAAAAACAGAAAATGAAGTAGTTAAATTATTATACATTTACAGAACTATTGATTAAACTATAGAATGAACAGATTAATTTTATGGGTGGAGAATAAAATATATTAAACTGAATCTCTTTTTTATAGTGAAAAGAATTTTTCATGAAAACAAAAGAGTTATATTTATATTTGGACTACTTGATGAAGGCCTCAACCTACCACTCTGTAGGACCCGAGATCAATTCCGGACCATCAAAAAACTCCAAAAGCCTTAAAATTGTATGTCCTGCTAATACATAAGCTCTATTTACCATACCCTGTTTTTGTGGTCTTGCTCTTTTTTAATTATATTAATGATTGAAACAATTAAAAAATGGCGCAAACGAAAAAAAAAACATTAATATAAAATATTCTGTAAACAGGGAACCAACTACCTTATATAATATGTTAATTTTCTAACTTGAAAGGAGCATTTAATTTAGTTTAAGAAAACGATTTAGAAAATTATTATCATGGATACTTTCAGTAAAGAAATTACAAAATTACTTACTGGGAAAGTAAAATTATCTTTACAAATGCTTTTGTAGCAACCTGTACTGTTTTCTTTGAACACGGTAGTTGCTCTGAATTTACATTGCTTGCAGCCTTCGTGACTGATTAGTTATTATGACTTGCGTGAATGCTAGTAACTTTCATTTTATAGAACGTTTCAAATATGGAGAATAATATTTTGCATAAGTACAATGAATGATGAGCATGATTAAATAGTTTATGTTTACAGCTCTCTGTAGAAAGAATTATTGGAATCGTTCAACCGAATTCGGTAAATATAATCTCTCGTGCAGGCAGTTTCGATTTTTGGAGGAAAATTAACTTCAAAATTCAACCGATAGTAAAAAATATAGCACAGATGCTCCTGAATGTTTATACCACGTGCTGTACTCCTAAGTCTCTACTTGCACCAGTGAACCTACAAATACAAGATTTATATTTTAGAAATAATTAAATTCACTTATTAAAAACGTTCGAATTTTGAAAAACACAAATTTGCTGATTCACTACGGACAACCGTTGAAGTGAAGTGAAACGGGTTTTTCCCTTGTAAAAGATGTCTGCTTACTGCAGTTCAGATACAAGTCGCCAGTTCGCCTTTATTAACAGTTCGAAATGGAGTGGTTCCATAATACCACCTTTTCCTCTATATTATTCTACTATAGTATAAATTTCCTAATGTTATAAACGTATTAAAGATGCATTCGTATTTTTCCCATAAAAACAA